CCAAAAAAAAAAAAAAAAAAAACACGGAACTCAATCTTTCTAATCCATGAGAAAACTACCAAATCAAAATTCACCACAGTAAAGGAAAAGATCCAAATCCAAATTTTCAACTTCACCCAAGAGTAGGAATGTTCAACTTCCATCATGAGTTTAATACTAAATCAGTAAACCTTGATACAAAAGGTCAATAAAGGCTTTGTACTCCATTGTTATTTGTTGGGTATTAGCTAAAGACAAAATCAAGTTGAATGGAAAGAGGGTGGTTCATATACACGTTTAGAACATGGATAAATCATACCTTAAATATTGGTTCAACAATCCCATGAAAAACTTTAGTTGAGCGGCCTCGTCCAGAGCGTGGATTTAATATCACAAGCATTTTTGGTGGATTCTTGCATTTGAAAAGTAATTCAGGAGGCGTATCAACCGGAATTAATTCTGAAGATGCCTGCTTCTTTGAGGAGAGTAAAGGATGAGGCAAACAATTTACGTAGCAGTGCTGATCTGCAAAACCACCAACCCACTGAACTGCCTCTTCCACGCTAGAAGACAAAAAGCGATAATCTCTCGACGTCCTCCTGGGCTTCATTAAACAAGAAAGACCACATGGACCTTTCTGCAGTGGATATGAGTGAATAGTAAAATGCCTGAGACCAACATTGTACGAAACCTGTCAAAATGGGGCATAGTATCATTAATTCATCAATACATCCAACAGAAATTCATGGACCTTGTGTTTTGCTGAGACGTAAAGAAAAGCTTACTGAAACGACATCTTCCAGAAGTAGCATGTGAGAACCCCATATCAAGGCCGTGCTAGTAAGTTTAGCATCAAAACTTTCTCGATCAGCAACACCAGTGTCATCAGAAACATTCTTGTCCGAATTCTTTCTCTTATCCAAAATCAGCTTACCGGATAAAACTGTATAGCCCAATAAATCAGACTTTTCATCACCACCAATGTCAATCCTATGCTCAAATTTCTTCGGCTTGTCACGATCAGCACTCGAGGTCATGGTGAACTTCGAGATAGAGGAATTAATCTCACTACCTCGCCTAGAAGAAGACTTGGCCTTGCTGCGCTTCTCAGGGAAGACAATGGGCGAGGAGTGTTGTCCGCCGGTTGCTATTTGCGAGCACAACCCCAATCGCCTAATAGACTTCTGAGGCGTTGTCAGCCTCAAAGACGATGAAGAAAGAGCATTTTCATTACTGTTCCTAGAAAGGCCCTCACTCTGCTGCATATCTAAACAATTCCGCCCGAATATATAAACAGAGAAGCACTGCGACGAACACGCACATCCAAACCCCGCACTCAATGCCCTCTGTACATTAAGGTTGAGTACGAGACGGAAGATAGGAGGAGCTATTTTTCGTTTCAAATAAACAAAAAATGAGCTGTAAATGGCGATCCAACTCTCCTAAATTCCAACTGTACTAACAATTCATTCAAACAATAAAAGCTCACAATTGCCTAAGCAATTGCGTGAAAGATCGCAACAGCTTATAAGCGCACGCAAATCAAGATTCTAGGGAATACGAAATGGCCTTCAATTCAACAATTAAACGACGAATCAGACAAAAAAACTCAGAACGAAATTTGATGCAGGAGCTTGAAAAAAAAACCTAAGGAGCTAATCAGATCTTATGCTAGTCGAATCTGAAAAAAACTGCGGCCAAATTTGATAAACAAACCCTACCAATTTCAGTTCAGACCTACCATAGATCCTCGCTCCCCAGGTGGTTTTGCCGGCTGAGAATCGAAGAAATTGCGCACTCAAACCTAAAGCCTCTGTCATTCGAAGCTCGGCATCAAAAATAATATCGTTTCAATGGTGAGGAGCCTTTCATTTTGTGTTTCTTTATTATTATTATTTTTTTATTTATTTATAATCAAGAAATTGCCTCATACTCAGTTTAGTGGAATAGTTGGTGGACAATAAATAAATAAATAAATAATAAATAATAAATAGCTCCAGACGAGCTTCCAAATATACCTTTTTCTCTCTCTTTTTTTCTTTTTCTTTTCCTTTTATTATTTTTTTTCTTTTTTTTCTTTTATCTCTTGTAAAAATTCACTTAAAAAATTAAAACTCTATTTTTGTGTTTATTTTATTTTCTCAAAAAAAAAAAAATTCACTACTTTATTTTACGCTCAACTTTATATAAAAAATTAATTAAATTATAAATTTAGTCTAAAATTTATTATATATAAAATTAATTTATAAAACGATCAATTAAATCGAACTTGTGCGGTACAGCTTGTTTAGATCGAAAATGTAACTGTTCAAACTCACCACTAGCAGATATTATCTGCATTGGTATGTTATAAATGGTATCGGAATCAAACATTGGGTGGTGTGCCAGTGAAAATACTAGACCCTAAAGGAGTGGATTGTGAGATCTTATATCAGTTGGAGAAGGGAATGAAGCGTTCGGAAACCTCTCCTTAGTATATGTATTTTAAAATTGTGAGGCTGACAACGATACATAATGGATCAAAGCAGACAATATTTGTTAGCGGTGGACTTAGCCTTATAAATGGTATCAGAGTGCACTGGGCGGTGTATCAACGAAGACGTTGCGCTCATGGGGGTGAATTGTGAGATCTCACATCGATTGAAGAGGAAAACGAAACATTGTTTATAAGAGTATAGAAACATTTCCCTAACAAACACGTTTTTAAAACCGTGAGGCTGAGTGTGATAAGCAACAGACCAAACCCGACAACCCAAATAATTGGGCTAGGTTTAAAAAATGTCTCTACCCGACCAACCCAACCTATACCAACTTAAAATATCATTAATATCTTTTACTTTTAGTCAATCCAAATTAATGGTAAGAACCCACTAAAATATGCTATAAATATTTACGATAAACCTAATTATTTCTTACTTCGGTGAACGTAATAGTCACAAGAACGAAACTAATTGTCCTACTACTAGTTTCTGCTTTATTTTTTTCCGTTCGGGTTCTCCATGAATGAAGAGTTGAGCACTTGACACAATCGCACGTTTAAAGGCAGCGGACTAGCGATTGTGTGGCACTCACTTTCCAACGACAAGTGAGCTAAGCCAATTTGTACTTGCGTCGCCTACGGCTAAGCGACGTATGATCAAGCCTCTAGCCTCGGTTTTAAAAGAAGGTTTTAGGAAAACGAGGGTAGAGAGAGATTTTAGAAAGAGAGATTTTTGAAAGAGACGTTATATAGCAAGCAAGAGAGAGATAACAACGGCTTAGCATATATAACCTTGGGTAGGGAGAAGTTGACAACTAGTCATATCCCCCTATAGTACATTTTGAGGCATTTCATGTCTGGCAGGCCTAGACATGATATTTTTGAGGCGTCATACGCCCTAGAACTACAAAAGTAAAAACACTAGAATGAAAAGACATGACAAGGGTTTGGCTTGCCATAGGCATGCGGCCATGGGCAAGAGTCAATGTTTTCATATTAGATGTGATAAACCCGATCCTTTTCGACTTCTTCGGGCAGAATAGTCAAAAAAACGAAACTAATTGTCCTACTACTTCGAGTTTTTGCTTTCTTTTTTTTCGCTCGGATTCTCCACGGGCGAAGAGTTAGAGTCAATGTTTTCATATTAGATGTGATAAACCAGACCCTTTTCAACTTATTTGGGCAGAATAGTCAAAAGAATAAAACTAAATGCCCTACCTTCGATTCCCTGCTTATCGCTCGGGTTTCCACAGACAAGGAACTTGAATCAATATTTTTATGTTAGATACAATAAACTCAATCCTTTCAGACTCTATTGAGTGAAATAGTCAAAAGAACGAAACTAACTGCCCTACCTTCGGTTCTTTGCTCAGATTCTTCACGAGCAACGGCTAGAATCAATGTTTTGGAGTCTTTTAATTAATTTAATTATATTATGTCGAATTAAAATAAGTAAATAAATAAAAGCTAGCTTATTGACAATTTCTTAACTATGGTTTGATTTACTTAACTATGATAGGTCAATTAACCAAACTTCGTGGTTAAACCAGCTTTGATTACTATGCTTATCCATTTGTGTATATATATATGGTTGGTGCTTTAAGTCCATTATTTGTTCTTCATGTTTGTCCGTACAAGAGAAACCAAATTGAATATTCTCTGAAACCGTTGTTCGTTAATCGCAATGATCCAATCTCACCGCCAACGAAGAGATGCATGAATTTATCGCCACAATTTCACAGAATCTGTAAACGTTCTTTTTTTTTTTCTCCGCCATGGACGATCTTCCGCCTTCGTTAGTTCTTGAAATCTTGAATCGACTGTCCGATTCAGCCGATTTGGCTCGGTGCCGTGTGGCTTCCAAATCTCTTAATGTTCTTTCTCGTGAGGTTAGGTCAGTGAACCTATTTTGTTCATTGGATCGATATCTCAAGTCTAGGGCTGTGGAGACGAGGTTGTTAGTAATGCCTTTCAAGGTCATATTGAAGAGTCTGATGAACGATTTTGTGGCTCTCGATTCTGTGTCGATCGGTGTGGAGAAGTCGCTTGGACGGATTTCGTATGAGCACGACGATGTTGAGGATTGGTCTGATGACTTGTTCTTGACGGATGTTGGTTTCGCTAGGGAATGGCTGCCGGCGATTGGTAGAGGCTTGACTTCCTTGTCAATAGTGGATTTTTGGGTTCAATCATGCTGGAGGCAATCGAAGATTTTGGCGCTAATTACTTTATGCTGTAAGTTTCGCTATCTTATTGCTTTAAAATATCAATTTCTTCATGGAACTGCTTACGTTCATCTGAACTTCTAGACGTTTCCACGTCTGGAAGACTGAGACGTACATGAACCGTTTTTTGAATTGTTGAAAATGTTGGAATTGATTTGCTAGTTCATTATGATCAATAAGAACATGGGACGAAGAAACAGGAAAATGCAAGGGATCGCTGTGAGGATGTAGAGGGTAATCTCCAATAATTCTGTGTGTCTTTTACCAAGGAAATATGGGATATTGTGGATGGTTAAGAATTTGTATACAAGATTAAATTAATTCATCAGCTTGAATTTATGGGTTAAACGTTGTTTTAAAATTGTATCATTGCAGAAGGTACTATATTTGAACTTATGTGATACTATTTCCTCCCCGGTTAATATATTGTCAACTGCTAGAATTTCCACTCAAGTTCAAGCCCACTAGTGAGGGTGCTAGGATGAATAAAAGATGTAGCTTAAGTTGTAGTGATTTAACCATCATGTCAACTTTGAAAGTATGGTAGACTATCAAGTATCATGACACGCCATCTGTTGCAAGCCAGTTCTTAAATCTCAGTTATTATTTCCTCTGTTTTGATGGTAATATAATGAAGTTCGTGTTTATGTGGTCTGGTCATGGCTGAATGAATAGCATAGGCGCACTTGGCTTCTGAAAATGGAAACAATAAGGATGCCAAAAGGGCAACTTCGTGGTGTGTCATTGTGAGATTTTAGAAAGACCGAAATTTGGTTAGTAAAGTCATATGGTTGAAATAATTTGGACAAGAGGAGAAAAACGAGCAGGCTTTTTAACCCTCAGAAGGCATTGTCATACTCTCCTTTCTTTATTTTATCGACGTCTCATGGATCAGTGCAAGCACTAAGAAACAATCAGTGTTTGGATGGATTTAGGAAAAGAGAGGTTCAATCTTAGAATCAAGCCGAGTATTTGGTATTCTAGACTATTTACTATTATTATTGTTTTTCACTTAGAGAACTAACTGTTAAAGAACGATTCTCGTTTCCCATTAGTTGAACTTTTGGTCGGGTTTTTCATCCAGGTAGATGTAAGATCCATTAATTTGCCTGATACCAGGACCAATTTGTTTCTATTCGTTTGAAGTGACTTGGGTTATCATCTTGGTTCTATTTTCCATTCAAAATATTTCCATGACCTTAAAATTTTCATGTTATTGTCCATTTTTTTGACCTTGACTTGTTTCTTCTTGTAGGTGGCAATCTTCAGGAACTTGAATTGAAGAACGCTTGGTTGTCTGTGGATGGTCTGAATAGATTGAATTCCCTCAAGTGTCTGACCCTAGAATTTATAAGATTAGATGATGAAGATCTGAGCGAGGTTAACTATAACTTCCCTCATCTTGAAATTCTTAATTTGATAGGGGTTGGGGGCCTAAATGAACCAAAAATTCATCTGTCACAGCTTAAAACCTGTCGATGGACAGTGTCAAATGCTCCAGTTTCTCTGAGCATATGTGCACCAAGCCTATCAAAACTTGAACTGAAGTGTGTCAAACCAAAATCTCTTATTATCCAAACTCCCATGGTATCTGATTTTCATTTTTGTCTACAAGATGCAAGTGGGTTACAAGTTAATGAATTTCCTTGCTTGAGAAAGCTTCAGCTTCATTTTCCGTGTCTTTACAGTCTCATCACAACATTTTCATCTGCAAGAACTATAAAGGAACTCACTCTCAATACAATGCAACGTGCTGAATCTGTTGAATCTGTTAAGCTTTGCCTTGATACACTGTTTGAAATATTTCCAAATCTTAGCTTTCTTAAATTGGGTCCAGGAGTTTTCTCAGAAGCCGAGACTTGTTATCAAGCTGAAGGTTTGGATGGGCGGATAGGGATGAGAGATTTGAAAAAGATTCATGCTAGCCTTGAAACCTACAAGATTGAGTTAAAACTTCCATTTATCATTCCCATTTTGGAAAAATGTACTGACTCCCTCGGTATGGAATTGCTCATCTATCACAATGCCGATTCTCACCTTGCTGGTGGAATTATGTCAAAACGTGCAGTTAATCATCCAAGACCAAAATGGAGATGGGAACTGTGGAAGGAAGGATTAAAAGAACCGTGGGCTAAGGGCATTTGAGCTGTCGAGTGTAATTGTCATAGTGATGGTACAAACTTTTGCTCCTGAAGGTGCAAAGCTTCAAAAGAGGCAAATCCATGCTGTTTAAAAACTAAGCCTGCCATCTTTTGAAATTGGCAGACTTATGAGGGTTCTAAAGAACGCCAAAGAACTCAGTAGATCAATGGAATGACCCAAAAGCAATCCTACATATGATTCCGGATCTATAAAATTACTTTTTTGATCTTTTATGTTCAGATCTTTGCTTGAAGTCTCCTGTTGATACTTGGTTCGAGAAAAACTGCTGCTGCTGCTGCTGAGAAATTTGAAAAAAGGGTCAGTTCTTTTGCACCTTCATTTTATACTCTACAAGATATCCTTAATAATTGCAATGATCAGTCTGTACATATTTCCAACAAATAATGATATTTGTTCCCGACACAAGATTGAATGTCTGATGCCTCTTATTTGGATAGAGAGATTAGTTTGTACCATAAACTATTTCATCCATTAACCTGAATGCTATGCTCAGTGATTTGATTGTATGGGGTTTACATACTTAAAAATATTATTTCAGAGACAGAGCTGGTATAATTAGATGGTTAAGCTGCTCATGATGTCTAGTCACTTTGCCTGAGTTTCAGGTTGCTGTGAGCTCCACCCTTTCGATCAACCTCTAAGGATACTTCCTTACTCTTTGATTGAAACTAAAGGGAAAACATGGTTCCAACAAGAATACAAGACAGCCCAGCCAATTCAGGAGAGCCGGTAACTTTACACCCTAGAACATTGTTCTAATGCTCATAAATAAATGCTCCGGAGATATTGTCCTCTTTGAGCTTTTCCACAAGGTTTTTAAAACGTGTATGCTAGGGAGAGATTTTCACACCCTTATAAAGAATGTTTCGTTCTCCTTTCCAACCGATGTGGGATCTCACAATCCATCCCCCTTCGGGGCCCGCGTCCTTGTTGGCACTCGTTCTCTTCTTCAATCGATGTGGGGACCCCCCAATCCACTCCTCTTTGAGGCTTAACGTCTCTGCTGGCACACCACCTTGTGTTTAACCCCCTTCAGGGCTCAGCCTCCTCGCTAGTACATCGTCTGGTGTTTAGCTTTGATGCCATTTGTAATAGTCCAAGCCCACCGCTAGTAGATATTGTCTTTTTTGGGCTTCCCCTCAAGGTTTTTAAAACACCTCTGCCAGGGAGAGGATTTCACACCCGTGTAAGGAATGTTTCATTCTCTTCTCCAACCAATGTGAGATCTCATAAATATAATCTCACTCCCATGCTCATCCGTACAACACTTTCCACTAACGACTTGTCTGGTGACCTTTTCCCATATCACCCCTCGTAGTGTACATATTACCATTGTGGTTTAACGTAAACCTACCAGAAAAAAGTTGACATTGCTATGGTCTACTGTGACTCTCAGGGTGCAGCTGTAGAGGGAAGAGATGGGAGTAATCAGGTGGGTTGACACTGCTCATGATGTCAAATTGTCATGCTGGTTCAGAAAATCTTAAGTTCCTGGGTAGGCCAGCCCCTCCATCAATCCAAACAAAAAGGGTTCCATCATTATCATTAAAAGATCGATAGTTACTATTCAATAGGAATAGAGATTCGAACCTATGATTCATATGAAATGAGAATGGGACTTCTTCATCCTGCAACATTAAATTGTCTTTTAAAGATCGATAGTTAGTTCTCAATTGCCCACACGATATCTGATTGTGTTATTATTGACAGATATCATACCGTTTAATTTCGCCGAAGGAGAAATAAGAAATGGAACAAGAACAAGAGAGGAACATAAATATGAATGGTCATTGACACTTCGGCATTATAATAATACCAAGTGGTTCCCTTTATAATTTGATACACTTCAAAGTATCGTATTGTAAACGTTTCAAAGTATTGTATTGTAAATGTTTCAAAGTATTGTATTGTAAATGTTTATATACTATGGTAGCACGTAAACGTCTAAACCCAGAACTCTATTAATTCATTGTGGTTAGTGGTAAAGTTTTAAGATATTATATTAAGGCATTATAATGCCAATGAAAGGTCCACGATTTTCAACTGAATATTGCATGACTAAACAAGTCTCTTTTTGGAAGAAAGCATCATAAACAAGATCAAGTACTACTTAGAGTTCAATTTATTTCAGAGATTCAAGCTTAGCAAACAACTTCACTGAAAAAGAGCGTGAGGAGTTCCTGCTAAATTCTACAAAAACCAGACTTATTAGAAACGATAACACCTTTATAAACGAGACGTGACGCGTGATGACTGGGCAGACCTGCTGATTCAGCAATGCGAATAAAGCACCATCGGATTATGTATGCTTCTGTACTATATGCTGAAGAAAACACGATGAGAGCATCTAAGTCGACGTATTCCATAGTGACAAATTTCCTTAACGCTCGCAATCTTCCACGTTTCTCGGCTAAAAGGAGCTTATTTGCTTAACTAAGACGTTGCATATTCCATATAGAACATCGGAACGATCTCTAACAGAAGTCATCATCACGTCTTTCCATCAACTGGATTGAGTTGCCTTTTGTCGCTCTGCAAGTTGACCTTCGAGGAACTTCAACACAGATTGACGCTACGAGTAAAATAGAAATAATGTCGATTAACTCAAATATAGTTCAACTAATTAAAACATGATGTATAAAGGTTCGGCAACAAAGAATCTTAGCCTTACTCGCTGCTCAAGACCAGGATTCTCCGAGTTCAGTGTTAATGATTCCAATAACTTTATGCCTTCCTCGAACCCATTAACTGCCATATCCTCATTTCCTAGACCACTGTCCACATCCGCCACTTTTGCAAGCGAAACAGCCACATCTAGGATCTAACAAGCAATAAGGTGAATAAACCATTTCAGAAACCATGAGGAACTTGAACAATATCATTTATTTAATTATTTTAACGTATGATAATGTGACGATAAAATCCACAATCGAAGTCTTCGTAAGCAAGAATGGACCAAGAATTCCTAACACCAATCATATTCTAAACTACAAAGGGTCGATAGTAAGCATTTGAAGAGTACTCAACCAACTATTAAGTCAAGATTACATCGACTCTACAAAATACCCATTGAGTTTCATTGATTGCAATGAAGGATTTCTGAAGTTATATTTTTTCTCTTGGAACTTGTTATATGCTGTTAGATAAATGGCCCCCTCCAACAATGTGTCTAAATAGGATTTTTTTTCTTCGATCTCAACTGACAACAGTCATTTGTTCTGGATAGAACATCACACTGATACGGATAACACAATCTCACATCGACCCTCTTTAGAATTTTAAAAAGAAAAATGGAAAAAGAACGTTATTCAATGTTGAACTTAATTTCAAGGTCCCTACTAAGCTAACAGTCAATAACTAAAACAGTAAACTTCAAAAAAGATGCAAAAATCTTCAAACTATCCCTACTAAGCTACTACATCAAGTTGATTTGCAAAACTATGTCGGTATTTAATGGTATAACTTCGCGTTCCTTTTGGGTACACGGAATGCAAAAGAAAACACTGGACAATTTTGAAAGAGAATGAGGCATTAAGGTCAGTTTTTTGTACCCTTGAGCTTTCTTGCTAGTCCGCGCCCAGAAAGATTCCTTTAAGTTTTTATTTCATAGTGTATAAGATGCAGTTGATGATGTTCAAAAATTAGTTTTTGCCCACTAGGACTTTATTGTCTCTATTAACATCCATTTTGGTCGATGGACCTTCAACGAAACTACTTATCGCTAAAAGGTTCTAGAACTGGATAGCATACGCGACATGTTATCTTTTAGGATAAAAAATTTCATATAAGAAATTCACAATCACAAACCTGGGATGGATCTTCTGAATGATGCTTGCTTGCATCTTGGCGAACATTAAGAGACTGCAGATAATAAGATCTTGCAGCTTGAAGGTCTCCTTCATAATACTTAAGATCGCCAATTTTATTTAGTGAAACAGAAAGTGTATGCGTGACCTGAGTTAAGAAGAAAAGGATTACTAAGTATTACAAAAGCAAGCAGTTGATAATTCACAAAAGTTTCAAATAAAGAACCTCGCGAGTCTTTTCGGGTAGTTTTGAGAGAAATTCTACACTTTCTTCGAAGTGCTTTATTGCAGAACTAGCATCCCCAGCTGCTCGACTGTAAAGTAGGATCGAACAACAGACCCTTACATCAAGATTTATGGATATTGTTTTGGTGAACTAAAAATTTTTGGACAAATAATAATGTTCAGATACTTGCAAGGAATATTTACATCAGGATTTCATTTAATTACAAATGCTAGTAGTTAGTATGATAACTCAAGAATCTGAATGCCTAAAAGACCTACTAGTTGACCATTGTTACCAACAAATAGGCCGATGTGAAACCGAGAGGACTCAAAGAGAAACATCTAATTCAAAAACTCACCACCTAAGTTTCAATAAACACTAAACTACTGGACAATATTCATGAGAGAGAGAGAGAGAGAGAGAGAGAGAGAGAAGGGAGCCAACATACCAACAATCACCAAGTGTGCCTAGAACTGCTCCAAGCTGTGAGCATAATTCTGATGAATTGCCTGCTCTTTCTAATTGATCTCGAATATCTTCAACACAGATAGTGAGCCTGGATTTGGCACTTTCAATATTCTGGGCACGAAATGCCTGCAATAAAAGCCAGAGTTGAGTTCAAAACCTTTAAGAACAAAAAGGGATGTTAGGAAATGGAGTTTCCCAATTTCTGTAAATGGTGTTTAGACAACCGTTTCCTAAATTTTTGCTTTCTTTCTGTGTGTGCTCAGAGATAGAAAATTGTGAGATCCCACATTGGTTGGAGAGGAGAATGAAACATTCTTTATAAAGGTATAGAAACCTCTCCCTGATAGACGCTTTTAAAAACCTTGAGGGGAATCCCGAAAGGGAAAACCCAAAGAGGACAATATTTGCTAGTGGTGGGCTTGAGCTATTACGAATGTATTAGAGTAAGACACTGGGCGATGTGTCAACGAGGACGTTGGGCCCCAAAAGGGGGTGGATTGTGAGATCCCACATCAATTGAAAAGAGGAACGAGTGCCAACGAAGATGTTGGGCCCCAAATGGGGTGGATTGTGAGATCCCATATCAACTGGCGAGGAGAACAAAACATTTTTTATAAGGGTATGACAACATCTCTCTAGTAGACGGGTTTAATTAGATCCTCCAAATAAAAGGATTTCAAAGGAAAGATTCAATTGATTGCAGTGAGATGATCAAACATGCAATAAGAGATCAAGGGCATGAACGAAACAGGAAGAAAACAACAAGGAATATTACCCTCATGGCTTGTTGGATCAAGAAAGCACCTCTCTCCATGGACAAATCTTCATAAATGACTACTTTACTTTCACTAACTTCCTCCTGCTCTTTGTCAGAGTTCATCTGAGATCTCTTGATTCTCGCATGACCTTCAATGAATCGATCAACCGTGGCTTGCAGATCAGCGTGTGCTTCAATCTTCTCAATGTCAGCTCCACACAGGGGGCAATCATTAAAGCGTGATATACATGCTCTAGTTCAATTCAACAAGAAACAAACGAATAAATGCCTGAAGGATTCCCAAAAGAAACTAAAACGAAGATCAAAAAGCACCATAGCTGACAAATTACTTGCAGAAAATGTGAGAACAGGGGACACATCTGCTGCATTCAAAGAGAAGTGCCTGACAAATCATACAGCTTAGAGGGCCAATCTTGAAAGTTTGAGAATCATATCCGAATGGACATTTGCCGCCAGTTTTAGCGGCATCGGCAACGTCTTTCTCCGCCTCAGGCTGATCCTTCTTCAAAGAAGCGTCGTCCGAACGAGCAGATTTCGAAAACGGACAAGAAGACTCCGATGATTGCTGTTTTCGTGAAGAAGCATCATCGGAACGGCCGGATTTCGCAAAAGGACAAGCAGATTCCGGCTGGTGCTTCCGAGAAGAAGCGTCGTCGGGACGAGCAGATTTCACGAAGGGACAAACAGGAGTCATATCGATTCTCGACCGATCTCCCTCTCCCAATGATACAACTCGAATTAAATTTTTTTTTTCCTATATAATCGAAATTGAAACGAACTCAATCGATTCACAAACAAAAACGAAGATGAAACCTGGAAAATCAATGCCCTAAGAACCTGGTTTGAATTGAAAATCCCCAAATTTGTGTAGATTTCTGCATCCAACGTCGCTTTCCGAATCGTGTCGGGTTCCTAACCACCGGTATTCTCAAATTATCTAAAACGCTCTCGAAGTGTATAAATTATTGAGATCGACCCGCGACTCCGCAATTGAAAAGTAAATCTAAATGAATTATCAATTCATTTCTGTTTGCAATAAATAAAAAAACATTATAAATTTCATTTGGCCATTTGAATTAATTAGGGTTTGAATCATGTTCGATAGTGAGTTTGATTCATGTACATGTAAATTTTATGGACTTTGTTGATTAATGTGTTCATCTTCAAACTAGGATTATCTTGAACCAAATTAATTAAAATTTATGGTCAATTCAAAAAAAAAAAAAAAAAAAAAAAATTATTCCCAATACAGTTTAATTATAATAAGATTGGAAAGAAAAAAAAAATATTATTCTATATTCTTTGGAAAGAAAGCCATTTATTCGAAAGGATTTATTTTCAGATAATTTATTAAAAATAATGTTCGATCTAAAATAAATATGAAAAAACATGTTCATAAAATTATTTGTCATCCAAGTGGATTACCTTACATGGTCAACGAATTCGAAGATGAAACCAGTCTATCGAAAGTCATTGGTAATTCTCGAATCAACCACACTGATAGCTTAAATAGTTCATTGAAATTTGGTGTCGTTTTTTTCCTCGTATTTCAGT